TCAATCAGTCGTTATATTTTGGGGACTATTCTCCAAAAGACACTTGCAAACAAATTTGGGATTCAATGAAGAAGAAATACCAAGGTTCATCCAGAGTGTAGCGTGCACAAGTTCAAACATTGAGAAGAGATTTTGAGACACTACAGATGAATGATGGTGGGTCTATTATTGATTATTGTGCAAGAACAATGGGGATAGTCAACAAGATGAGATTCCATGGTGAAATAAAAGAGGATGTGGTTATTGTTGAGAAGATTTTGCTTTCTTTGGTCCCAAAATATGATTATGTGGTCTGCTCAATTGAAGAATCCAATGATATAAATGAGCTTTCATTTGATGAACTTCAAAGCTCTTTATTGGTCCATGAACAAATGATGAATCGAAATTCATCCAGTTATGTTCAAGCTCTAAAGGCTTTCTACCTTTGCTCAATCCTCAAATTCAAGAGGAAGGGGTAGAGGTAGAGGTAGAGGTAGAAGTAGAGGAAGAGGCTGTAGAGGCAATAGAGATGGAAGAAGGCAATATGAGAATTTTAAAGCTGATGAAGGTCACTCAAATTACAGAGGACACGATCAACAATTTGACAAATCCAAAATAGAGTGCTACAGGTGTCATAAACTTGGTCATTACCGATCTAAATGTTACACCAAATGACAAAGAGAATGTGGAGAATCAAATTTTGCAGCAGAAAAGAATGAATCTGAGACTTTGTTGACGGCTTATCATGTCAATGAGGAACCCCAGTCAGATGTTTGGTATATGGATATAGGATGCAATAACCAAATGTGTGGAAGTAAGTCTTCTTTTTCTTATTTAGATGAAGATTTTCATTCTACTATGAGTTTTGGTGATTGTTCTACTGTGAAAGTAATAGGAAAAGGTGATATTAATATTAGAACCAAGAATGGTTTTGAAGAAACAATTTCCAATTTTTTTTTTTGTTCCTGATGTGAAAAGTAATTTTTTAAGTGATGGTCAGTTGCAAGAAAATGGTTATGTGATAACTATTCAAAAAAGTGCTTGTGAGATTTATGATCGCTCAAGAGGAGCAATTGATGTTGTTCAGATGAGTTCAAACATGTTGTTTCCTTTGAAGATAAGAACATCTCAACCTTGTTTATTGAAGCAAAAGAACCTTCATGGCTTTGGCATTTTTGCTATGGCCACTTGAATTTCGGCAGATTAAAAACTTTTCAACAGAAAGATACAGTGACTGGCCTCTCTAAAATTAACATTCCTTCTCAAGTTTGAGAAGAATGTGTTGTTGGCAAATAACACCATTCTCCATTCCCTCAAGGAAAGTCGTGGAGAGCAAAAAATGTCCTGGAGTTGGTTCATTCCGACATTTGTGGGCCAATAAATCCATCTTCAAATTGGGGTAAAAAAATATTTAATTACTTTAATTGATAATTATAATCGAAAAACTTGGGTTTAGTTTTTCCAAGAGAAATCAAAAGCTTTTAGTGCATTTAAAAGCTTTAAGGCGCTTGTGGAGAATGAAATAGAAAAAGCCATTAAAACTCTTCGCATTGATCGTGGAGCAGAATTTCACCCAAAAGCATTTGATATTTTTTTTGATGAGCAAGGAACTCATAGCTGCCTACACACCACAACAAAATTATGTATCAGAGAGGAAAAATAGAACCATTCTCAACATGGTAAGAAGCTTGCTGCCAAGAAGAAAAATACCCACAAGTTTCTAGCTCGAGGCAGTAAATTGGATCATTCATTTGCTGAACAAAAGCCCTACTTTTTTTTTGTTCAAAACATGACACTTGAGGAGGCTTGGAGTGGGCGTAAATCAACCATGGATCACTTAAGAATTTTTGGTTGCATCGCTTATGCACATGTCCCAAATGAGAAAATGAAGAAACTCGATGATAAGGGTAAAAAGTGTCTTTCTTGGCGTAAGTGAAGTATCCAAAGCATATAAGCTATTTAACCCACTCTCGAAGAAGATTGTCATCAACAGAGACATTATTTTTTATGAGGAGATCACTTGGGATTGGTATAGGCAATAACTTACTCTAGTCATGTTTGATGAAGAAAGGTAGTAGCCCCTACAACCACAAATTCCAGCTGCTTGTGTCCCTAAAAATTCACCAAATGAAGCTCCAACAGTCGCTGAAAATTTAACAATAGTAGAAGAATCCATTGATTCAGTAGCTGAATCACGCCTTTGTCGTGTTCGAAAGAGGCCTAAATGGATGACAACCTTTATTAATAAGGAAATTGTTCAATCTGAGGATCCAATTACTCACTTTGCTCTTTTTTCACATTGTGATCATACATATTTTGAAGATGTTGTCAAAGAATAAAAATGGCAGAAGGCAATAGATGATGAAATTACCGCTATTCAAGGACCAACACTTGGGAGCTTATTGATCTTCCAAAAGGACACAAGCCTATTCGTGTCAAGTGAGTTTACAAGACTAAATTGAAGGAGAATGGAGAAGTTGATAAGTACAAGGCTTGACTCGTTGCAAAAGGGCACAAACAAGAATTCAGTGTCGACTACAAAGAAGTGTCTACTCTAGTAGCAAGGCTTGACACTATTTGGTTAGTGTTATCCACTGCCCAAAACTCATGGCCTGTTTATCAGTTGGAAGTAAAGTCAACATTTTTGCATGGGGAATTGGAAAAAGAGGTGTACATTGATCAAGCTTCCGGATATGTGAAGAAAGGTCACGAAAACCATGAATACAAGCCAAGGAAGGCATTATATGACTAAAATAAACACCTAGAGCTTGGTATAGTCGTACAAACGCTTACTTTGCTTCGGAATGTTTTCTTAGTTATCCTTATAAACATACACTCTATAATAAATTTGGAGCAAATAGGAAGACGCTTATTGTGTGCTTATATGTTGATGACCTTATTTACGTTAATAATGATGGGGTCATGTATGATGATTTTAAGAAATCTATGATGAATGAATTTGATATGACATATATGGGGTTGATGTGCTATTTTCTTAGCATTGAATTAGTGCAATCTCCCGCTAGTGTCTTTATTTCACAAAAGAAATATGTCTTTGATATTTTAAACAGGTTCCAAATGAAGGATTGTAATCCAGTTTCGACTCCAACTGAGCCTGGTCTGAAACTCACAAGATATGGAACATAAAAAATGATTAATTCTACTCTATACAAGTAGATTGTTGGGAGCCTTATGTATTTGACATCCACGAGACCAGACATCATGTATGTTGTGAGTCTAATCAACATATACATGGAGAATCCATATGAAGTTTATCTTTTAGCTGGTAAGAGAATTTTTCGTTACTTGAATGGCATTACAGATTTTGGAATCATGTATAAAACTACTAGAAAATCAAGGTTGGTTGGTTTTTCAGATAGTGATTATGCTAGAGACTTTGATGATAGGAAGAGTACACCTGGTTCTGTGTTTATAATGAACTTTGAAGTTATTACCTGGTTATCAAAGAAGCAACAAATAGTAACAGTATCAACTACTGAAGTTGAGTTCATTGATGCAGCATCAAGCTCATGTAAGTTATTTGGTTATAGAGGCTACTTGGAGTTCTACACAATCAACAATAAGGTCCAACTTTAATTTAATGGGATAATGTTTCTACAATAAAGCTATCAAAGAATCCAGTTCTACATGATAGGAGCAAGCACATTGATGTAAGATTTCATTTTCTAAGTGATTTATGCAATAATGGTGTTATTGAGTTGGTATTTTGTAAAAGTGAAGATCAGTTTGCAGATTTGGTAACCAAGCCCCTCAAGTTTCCTGCCTTTGTGAAGCTTAGAAGAATGCTTAGAGTATGCTCTTCAAAGGACATCATCAAAAATAATTAATTAATATATCAAAAAAAATTAAATCATCAAAAATAATTTTACAACTTACTTATAAAATTAGGTATTTGAATATGATTGAATGACTTCATATCAAAGATAAATAAAACAACTGAAGTAGATGATATGTTATGTGTTTAATAGACTGGATGACTTCATATCAGAGATAAATTAATTAATTGAATTAGAAGATTTTTTTTTACCAATTGTCCGATTTACTCACGCTTCGACTAATCCTCAGAGGAGACTAGCGTGAATTATATGATATGCTAACATACTGAGTAGCCACATTAATTTATATATAATAATCTATATATTGTTTTATCTCTTATCTATATCCTAACAAATAATAATATTATTAGCTATTCTAAAAATTGTATATCTCGCATGTTTCATTGAATCATGGTCTCCATGATGCAATATCTCCCATAAAATAACTATATATCTTTGTTTTTATCTTTTTAAGATAAAATACCCTTTTACCAAATTTATCCAAAAAGAGGATTTAGTACATAAACCACCCCTACGTGGCCAGGTTAAATAATAGAGACTTAGAATATATTATTTAAAAAGTCTTCAATTTGATTTTCTTTGATTGTTAGTAGGTAACCACTAAAGGGTTTATTTAATTGTTAACTTTAGGATCCTAAGAGATTAAACGGGATGCACATAAGCTGACCTAAATACAAAAATAAATAAATAAATAAATAAAAAATTGATAAACATAAACCAACATACATATTTACATATTAAACCATTAAAGTTAACATACATAAGTTATGGTTGTTCGGTTCCGAGTATCCTGCATTTTGTTTTTATTAACCCCTTTATTCTTTAATTTTATTTTATATTAGTCTCGGTTTCAGTTCCTAACTATAGGAATCGAAACTGGAATCGCACAATAACGGTTCTAAAAATTTGGAATCGAAACCTACTCTTTAACGGTCGATTTCGGATAGAAACTAGAATAAATTTCAGATACCTACCGATTCTGATTACAATCGATTCTTTTGAACATCCTTAACATAATCATTAAACGAACATATATATATATATATATATATATCTATAAATATAAAGTCTGTCGTTAAAGAGTGATTCTCCCAAACTTAGAGGGTAAATTAAAATGCAATTAGTTTTCTTTTGTTGGGACCGCCGAAGAAGGAAATTCCATCCATGCAAATTATAAGCCTTGATCCGCCGACAACAATCGCCCTGTTAATTCTCCAAAAATATCCAATCTCTTCTTGTCCTTTCTCTATCTCCGTAACAGCGAGTACAGCAAAGAAAGCAATAAAAGTCTCCCTCCCTCAATAATTTGCTCCCATCCAATCTGCTCCACCCACAGCACCTCCTTTTTCTCCTTCATTAAGACCCCTTTTTTCTGACAAAAATATAGCACGAAACAATCAGGAACCAGCACAGCACAACACAATTATAGGAACAGAAAAATAGCGTCAGTATTAACATTTCTTTGATGGGCTTTAACCACTTTCTTCAATGGCAATTTACCCTCTCAGCTTCTTCAGCTCTTACTCTCTTTGTCTTCTTTTGATCCTATACCGCCGACCTATCACTCGTTTTCATCTTCTTCTCATCTTTCTTCACTCTCTTTTATAACCCACTTTTTTTTTTTGATTTCTTTCTTTGTTGTATAGCTTCTTTGTTGAAAGAGTTCGTGTTTGTTTGAGAGATTTTGATTATGGCATCGGTGTTTATATACCATGTGGTGGGGGATCTGACGGTGGGGAAGCCAGAGCTGGCGGAGTTTTATGAGACGGAGACGGTGGAGGCGGCGATAAAGGCGATTGGGGAGTCGACGGAGTGTGGAATTCCGGTGTGGAAGAAGAGATCACTGGTGGGGATTGAGAATAATGAGATGAGGCAACAGAGGTTTGTGGGCATTCTTAATTCTTTTGATATTGTTTCGTTTCTGGCTAGAGCTGAGTGCTTGGAGGATCAAGATAAGGCTACGAAGACTCCGGTTTCTGAGGTTGTTGTTCCTAATAATTCTCTGTTGAGACAAGTTGATCCTGGCACAAGGTTTGTTTTATTCTTATTTGTTTCTATTGACCTTAGAAATTTTATTTACAACGATTTGTAGACATGGGGTATCTCGATCCAACGGTTGATCTTATAGTTCTATGCATCTTTAATTGAGATTTGGGTGGGTGATGTTACAACTGATTTGATAAATGGTAGTATTACACTTTGGTTAATCCTAATCGAGGATCAGTGTATTGTGGTATTTGTAACTTAAAATTAGTAATTTTTTTTTTTTTTTTTTTTTGAAATTTGTGTATATATTTTGAAATTCAAGTTTTGGTGATCATCTTATGAATTTTGAGAAACATAGAAGATACAAACTTTTTAAGCTTAGTGTTTCTCTTGGAATAATTGAATTATGATTACTCTATTGCAATATTTATACCTATAATTTTTATTTTTTTGCATTTGTATATTGTGAAATTTATGTGAGCGTATATATATTTGGGTTGGGTTGGTTTCTTGAATTGAATATTTTTTGATACTCATTAATGGTGTGTTTGGTTGTGATGATTCATGTCCATTCATTGGAGGTAGATATTTTTAGGTATGTCTTTTTTAAAAGATGGTGTAACATCATCATAACAAATGAATTGGTGTGGGATCAGTTTTATGATTTATGAGGAGGCACACTCATTAATTCTGAAAAAGATTGCAATGAAGGCTGCAAATTGGTTAAAACTTAAAAGGGTCCCATTGACAATGATGCATTAATATAATGAGTCACAATTGATATTGTCAAATTCGGTATTCTTTGATTTATGCAAGTCTCTGATACTGTTCACTCAACCACTCTATTGTGAGTTACGTATAACTCTTTATGTGTGTTCCTTCTAGAGTTCATCAATGCTCAATTTTATTTGATTTTTGCTTAGTTGATCTGTTTCTAGGTATTGAAATGATATTATATTGTATTCAGTCATTATTGCATTCTCTCATATGAAGATTTTCACTAAAGATTCACCCACATAATCCCGACCTATTTACCATTTAAGTCTAAGGCACTCGGATTAGAACCTTCAGCTTGTTTTTTATTTTGTTGAACTCTTAGTATTAATCATCTTTTTAGTGATGATCATAGTATGATTTATTTATTTTCTTTCCTCTCTTGATCTTGTTTCTGTTACGTGACCATCTTGGTCTCTTTTAGTGGCATATTGCATATGTGCTCTGTTCTATATTGCTACTTTTATTCTTCTAAGGATTAAAATGCACATTTTGAGGTGTTCTTCTGGTTCAGTCCGGTTCGGTTGGTTCAGTTCTTTTTATTTCTCTTTTTACTTGAAAGTCAGCAACACTTTCTCTTCTCTTCATTGGAAACCGGTCAGATTCACTATTTTTTGGGCCCCTATTTCATTTATGCCACATATGATTCTGCTGGAGGTTATATAAAACTTATAAAGTCCCAATCCTTATAGCAACCAATTCGGCCTTGTATAATTGTGATTTGTAAACTTCAATATACTTTTATGCATCTTGCTCGGAACCTATCAGGATGTTAATCATTCAACATAAAGTTTGGTTTCATTTTTTAGGCATGCTATCTTTTTGATAAATACTTGAAGATTTCAGGCTGCTTTTTGCAGATAATTGTAATACTGATTCTATTGCCTTTTACAGATACTAGCATTTAGCTCTTTAGAAACCAACTTCCTGTGAAATGTGAATCCTTGTTAGATTATATGCTTGATGTCTTTCTCTGTTGAAAATAGTTTAAGATAAGAAAATACATGTGTTTTTTGTTTTATATTACGAGATATCCCATTATAAGCTTCTCCAAGATGTTTATAGATGGTTATGCTCATAAATAATCTTTATGGGTACACTGGGCATCCCGTACTGGACTGGGCTAGACTAATTCCTTAGAATAAAATTAGATTGGATAGGATTGTACTATATATAACATTGTGTTATATTTGATATAGTATTGAATTAGTAAATAGATGTTTTTGTGCTATTAATTATAATTTCTGTAACTAATATACGCAGTTTCTCATTTTCTTCAATCTTTCCCCTGGCTATAGTTTTTCCAATCACAAGACTAGGGGCGTTTAATGCAATCTCAAGGTCTTGTGTAATACAGTTCTGTCTAACAAACTTGCCCTAACTGTATGGTTTTAGTTTTGTTATGTTAGAACATGTTTAGTGGACAGGATTTCACAACACAAAATCTTAAGGTTGTATTAAATTCTCTTAACCCCATTCTCTCATGGGATTAGGTTAGAAATGAAAATAGTGTAGATTTTAGTACACAAGAAGAAATGAAAATGTTTGGTTAGGGTTTTTTTTTCTTTTTCTCCTTTTTAATCTTTTCTTCACATAATGAAATTCTTACTTGATAGGCCCAAAATTTTAGTGGTTATAAGTAAAAAATTAATGCCATTTTGTTGAACTTTCATTTATTGGTAGCAGAAAGTTATGGAGGTTGGTGTTGGCCAACATCTTTGAACTGAAAGAATGTTTTCAGGTATGCTATGTAATTTTTGGTTCTAGTTCACAGAAGAAGGAAAAGATTTGAGTAGCCTGTCATTTGTACATTGTTATTGAAGGTCTTTTTCGGTTCCATATTTTTCTCATTGTATTCCTGAAGGCCATAAGGAAGTAATCTTTTGAGCTTACTTGGTCAAAAAGGGTAAAAGATAACAACCAAATCCTCTTTAAGCAGATCATTACAATCTTTTTTGCCGCCTGCATTACGGACGTGGTCTATGATGTAGTTGATGTTAGTAATGCAGTGGAGATCTGAAGTACGCAGTCATACTGGAAAAGCATGATGACACTTCCCTGGCATTTGCATTGAACCCAAGGGGTTTAAATTCCTGCACCTCTTGCTCTTGTTGCCTAAGAATTGTGGTGTTGACTTAAGAGTAGGGAGTTGGAAGGATAGATAGCTGGGATCTAACTAATACTTAACTGCATAAACAATCCTTTCTCAGAAAAGTTCAGTCCATTATTTAGAGGATGCAATTGATAGATTCATGGAATAGACCTTTCTTGCAGATTTATGTAAAACCCGTGACTAATCCAGATCACTGGAAGTCCTGTCTTAGCAGAATACTTGGGTTGGGCTGGGGAATATTCCCTGGTAGAATGGAAAGTCTTTTTGGCTGTTATGGTGCAACTGTGACATGGATGAACAATATGAAAGCGGAGTTTTATGAGACGGAGACGGTGGAGGCGGCGATAAAGGCGATTGGGGAGTCGACGGAGTGTGGAATTCCGGTGTGGAAGAAGAGATCACTGGTGGGGATTGAGAATAATGAGATGAGGCAACAGAGGTTTGTGGGCATTCTTAATTCTTTTGATATTGTTTCGTTTCTGGCTAGAGCTGAGTGCTTGGAGGATCAAGATAAGGCTACGAAGACTCCGGTTTCTGAGGTTGTTGTTCCTAATAATTCTCTGTTGAGACAAGTTGATCCTGGCACAAGGTTTGTTTTATTCTTATTTGTTTCTATTGACCTTAGAAATTTTATTTACAACGATTTGTAGACATGGGGTATCTCGATCCAACGGTTGATCTTATAGTTCTATGCATCTTTAATTGAGATTTGGGTGGGTGATGTTACAACTGATTTGATAAATGGTAGTATTACACTTTGGTTAATCCTAATCGAGGATCAGTGTATTGTGGTATTTGTAACTTAAAATTAGTAATTTTTTTTTTTTTTTTTTTTTGAAATTTGTGTATATATTTTGAAATTCAAGTTTTGGTGATCATCTTATGAATTTTGAGAAACATAGAAGATACAAACTTTTTAAGCTTAGTGTTTCTCTTGGAATAATTGAATTATGATTACTCTATTGCAATATTTATACCTATAATTTTTATTTTTTTGCATTTGTATATTGTGAAATTTATGTGAGCGTATATATATTTGGGTTGGGTTGGTTTCTTGAATTGAATATTTTTTGATACTCATTAATGGTGTGTTTGGTTGTGATGATTCATGTCCATTCATTGGAGGTAGATATTTTTAGGTATGTCTTTTTTAAAAGATGGTGTAACATCATCATAACAAATGAATTGGTGTGGGATCAGTTTTATGATTTATGAGGAGGCACACTCATTAATTCTGAAAAAGATTGCAATGAAGGCTGCAAATTGGTTAAAACTTAAAAGGGTCCCATTGACAATGATGCATTAATATAATGAGTCACAATTGATATTGTCAAATTCGGTATTCTTTGATTTATGCAAGTCTCTGATACTGTTCACTCAACCACTCTATTGTGAGTTACGTATAACTCTTTATGTGTGTTCCTTCTAGAGTTCATCAATGCTCAATTTTATTTGATTTTTGCTTAGTTGATCTGTTTCTAGGTATTGAAATGATATTATATTGTATTCAGTCATTATTGCATTCTCTCATATGAAGATTTTCACTAAAGATTCACCCACATAATCCCGACCTATTTACCATTTAAGTCTAAGGCACTCGGATTAGAACCTTCAGCTTGTTTTTTATTTTGTTGAACTCTTAGTATTAATCATCTTTTTAGTGATGATCATAGTATGATTTATTTATTTTCTTTCCTCTCTGATCTTGTTTCTGTTACATGACCATCTTGGTCTCTTATAGTGGCATATTGCATATGTGCTCTGTTCTATATTGCTACTTTTATTCTTCTAAGGATTAAAATGCACATTTTGAGGTGTTCTACTGGTTCAGTCCGGTTCGGTTGGTTCAGTTCTTTTTATTTCTCTTTTTACTTGAAAGTCAGCAACACTTTCTCTTCTCTTCATTGGAAACCGGTCAGATTCACTATTTTTTGGGCCCCTATTTCATTTATGCCACATATGATTCTGCTGGAGGTTATATAAAACTTATAAAGTCCCAATCCTTATAGCAACCAATTCGGCCTTGTATAATTGTGATTTGTAAACTTCAATATACTTTTATGCATCTTGCTCGGAACCTATCAGGATGTTAATCATTCAACATAAAGTTTGGTTTCATTTTTTAGGCATGCTATCTTTTTGATAAATACTTGAAGATTTCAGGCTGCTTTTTGCAGATAATTGTAATACTGATTCTATTGCCTTTTACAGATACTAGCATTTAGCTCTTTAGAAACCAACTTCCTGTGAAATGTGAATCCTTGTTAGATTATATGCTTGATGTCTTTCTCTGTTGAAAATAGTTTAAGATAAGAAAATACATGTGTTTTTTGTTTTATATTACGAGATATCCCGTTATAAGCTTCTCCAAGATGTTTATAGATGGTTATGCTCATAAATAATCTTTATGGGTACACTGGGCATCCCGTACTGGACTGGGCTAGACTAATTCCTTAGAATAAAATTAGATTGGATAGGATTGTACTATATATAACATTGTGTTATATTTGATATAGTATTGAATTAGTAAATAGATGTTTTTGTGCTATTAATTATAATTTCTGTAACTAATATACGCAGTTTCTCATTTTCTTCAATCTTTCCCCTGGCTATAGTTTTTCCAATCACAAGACTAGGGGCGTTTAATGCAATCTCAAGGGCTTGTGTAGTACAGTTCTGTCTAACAAACTTGCCCTAACTGTATGGTTTTAGTTTTGTTATGTTAGAGCATGTTTAGTGGACAGGATTTCACAACACAAAATCTTAAGGTTGTATTAAATTCTCTTAAACCCATTCTCTCATGGGATTGGGTTAGAAATGAACATAGTGTAGATTTTAGTACACAAGAAGAAATGAAAATGTTTGGTTAGGTTTTTTTTTTCTTTTTTTTCTTTTTAATCTTTTCTTCACATAATGAAATTCTTACTTGATAGGCTAAGAAAAAAATCAATGCCATTTTGTTGAACTTTCATTTATTGGTAGCAGAAAGTTATGGAGGTTGGTGTTGGCCAACATCTTTGAACTGAAAGAATGTTTTTAGGTATGCTATGTAATTTTTGGTTCTAGTTCACCAAAGAAGGAAAAGATTTGAGTAGCCTCTCATTTGTACATTGTTATTGAAGGTCTTTTTCAGTTCCATATTTTTCTCATTGTATTCCTGAAGACCTTAAGGAAGTAATCTTTTGAGTTTACTTGGTCAAAAAGGGTAAAAGATAACAACCAAATCCTCTTTAAGCAGATCATTACTATCTTTTTTGCCGCCTGCATTACAGACGTGGTCTATGATGTAGTTGATGTAGTAATGCAATGGAGATCTGAAGTATGCGGTCATACTGGAAACACATCATGACACTTCCCTGGCATTTGCATTGAACCCAAGGGGTTTAAATTCCTGCACCTCTTGTTCTTGTTGCCTAAGAATTATGGTGTTGACTTAAGAGTAGGGAGTTGGAAGGATAGATAGCTGGGATCTAACTAATACTTAACTGCATAAACAATCCTTTCTCAGAAAAGTTCAGTCCATTATTTAGAGGATGCAATTGATAGATTCATGGAATAGACCTTTCTTGCAGATTTATGTAAAACCCGTGACTAATCCAGATCACTGGAAGTCCTGTCTTAGCAGAATATTTGGGTTGGGCAGGGGAATATTCCCTGGTAGGATGGAAAGTCTTTTTGACTGTTTGTGCAACTGTGACATGGATGAACAATATGAATGTCGGAATTTAGTATAGATTATTGCTTCTTTCACTTTCTGTCGTAAAAGTTCTGCTGATGGCAGAGAATTTTGTTTGCTTATGAAGTTCTTTATCTTTATTTTGAATGATTTTTTATTTTGTATGCATATATTCATTGCTTGCACTTAAGGGCTGAATAGTGTATGAAATGATAAAAGTTACAGCAGTTCCAGTTCAACTGTCTTTTGCAGTGACATCTGTTTCGAGTTCTTTTAAGTGTTAGTAGCTCATGGAAGAGATTCTGAATGTCTAGAACTTTTTCTAGGTTGCTGGCCTTGTGGCTCCTTGCGCCTACTCACCAAGTCATATTTGCCTGATGGGTAAAAGAGTAGTAAATTTTTTGCTTATGGTGGAGTTATCCGTATTCTATGTTTGTAGATGATTTATTCGTGCTTCATGCACTTGAGAGTTCTATGACATGTTATCTTGTATACTCTTTTTATGTTTTCTACTTTATGTAATTGATTTCTTTTCTCTGCATAATATTCACTTTTACTGATATTGTTCTGATTTTTTTGACTCTGATGCAAGATTGATAGATGCGCTGGAGATGATGAAGCAAGGCGTGAAGCGTCTTCTTGTTCGAAAGAGTGTAATGTGGAAAGGCATGAGTAAGAGGTTCTCAATTCTTTATAATGGTAAATGGCTCAAGAACATTGATCCATCTTACAGCAGCGGCAACAACCTCATTGCCAACACTAACCGCCCTTCCTCATCATCCACCTCCTCTTCCCGCGACAAGTTTTGTTGTCTTTCTAGAGAAGATGTCATTCGTTTTCTAATTGGTTGTCTTGGTGCTCTTGCTCCTATTCCTCTCTCGTCTATCTCCTTACTTGGAGCCATCAACCCAAACTACAGCTCCATCGAAGCCTCCCTTCCAGCCATCGAGGTTACTAATAAGCCACCTGGAGACCCCAGTGCAATCGCAGTTGTGGAGCCCACCCAGGATGGTCAATATAAAATTATAGGAGAGATTTCAGCTTCAAAATTATGGAAATGTGATTATTTAGCTGCAGCATGGGCTTTAGCCAATCTTTCATCTGGGCAGTTCGTGATGGGGGTAGAGGATAACATGACCCCAAGATCCCTTCCTGATTACTCGGTTAATTCACCAGTCGGAGAAAATAATACAGCCAATGGGGTCGGTTCACCAAGACCGAGAAAGTTCTGCAGTAGGAGCATCGGATTTAACCCTTCTAGTCCAAGCTTGGGTATCAGTAGGACCTCGAGTTTTGGTATGAGCAGAAGCATGTACAGGGGCAGAAGTGCTCCATTGACATGTAAAATTACAAGTTCATTAGCTGCAGTCATGGCGCAGATGCTGTCTCATAGAGCAACTCATGTGTGGGTGACAGAAGATGAAAGCGACGATGTCTTAGTTGGCGTCGTGGGCTATGCTGACATCTTGACCGCTGTTACAAAACAACCTACGGCATTGAATCTGGGAAATATGGGAAATCGATCATACGAAGGGTTTGCAACTGAAATTCAATCTTGAATTATTCAATTTTTCTTCGTTAGTTTAGCCTATTTGCAACTTCATGCCTCAAGTATAGAGGAGATTTGGATTGTGAGGTTTATACTAGTTAATTTCTTGATTGTCAGAGAACGATGTATGAACCAGTTATAAAGTTAAGAAGTTTGTGTGCTCTTTTTATTTATTTGTAAATAAATTTGATCTTTTTATTTTATTTGTGTTCTTGTAGAAATTCAAGTTAGGAAGCTAACTTCGGAGAGCCAACAAAAATCTTTCTATAAAACAATAGATTTTGAATCCTAAAACTTAGAAAATTCTATTTTTGAAACCCTTATTTAACCAAACATATTTGGAATGATAATTTGTTTACCAAACATATTTGGAATGATAATTTATACAACAAGTGATTATGAGAAAAGATCTGATGTAGTAATCTCAAACCTTACACAGTGTATCTAGCTAATTACCTTTATCTTACTAGTTATTGAACAACACATTTTACTAGAGTTCTATATTATATCTAAGGGGTGAACATAATTTTAGGATAGAATCGGAACTGGTGGGTACTCGGGGTTCTGGTTTCGGTTCCTACCTAGAATTGGCTTTCATAGGGTCGGTTTTAGTTCCACCACTGTAGGAATCGGGAACTGGTGCCGAAACTAAGATTCAGGCACCCAAGGAGGAACTAGGATTGAACTATAATTTTTGTAAACTATTGGGGGTGAATGAAAAGGCTGTATTTGTAATTTTTTTTTCAAAAATAGGGAGTAATTGGAAATTATTCTGGGTACCCAGAATTGGAACTTATGTTTCAAGTTCCGATTCCTAGCTTTGGTTCCAGTTCCAAATCCAAATCCAAGGAACTAGCTGATTCCAGTTCTGATTCCTTTGAATTAGGGTAGGTATCTGAACTCGATCACCTCCAATTGTATCAATCTATCCTTGTATTGAGTTACATAGGTTCAAGTTTATATTTATATTATTTTTGGGCAACTTAGATTGAAGTATGGGTCTGTTGAACCTATTGTGATGAATCGATTGCTTGTCATTTATCTAAAATATGTGTCGATTATTTGTTAATTATCCAAAAAACTAAGACTACTCACTTTTATAAGTCTAAGACTGAATTCATTAAAGATAAAAACCAAGTAAATTTATATTCGAGATAGGATTGCTATACTCTTTCCCTTCCCAACCAATGATGTGATGAGTGTGGGATAGACTTGAACCCTCAATTCCAGTATAGAATTGACTCAAACCATTGGTCGGTTTGGGGAGTATCACATAGCATATGAGAAACCCAGAGTCTACGCACCGAATGAGAATTTGAACATGCTCTGAAACTATTTAGATTTCAAATATCAAAAGACAACTTGGATATACTCTAATACCACTTGTTATGGATTGAACGTTTGTCAATTACCTAAAAGACTAGTTTGTTAGACAATGTTGTCTATCTATCTTTACAAATCTCAAATTTACCCCATTTTTATCTCATGTGAGATGAAAAATACTAAGTGACATGATTTTCATATGAAACATGACTACTAGTAACACAACATAATCCATTGAAGTATATATCTCTCTTCATAAAATTTGGTGATATTTATACACTTGTACCAAATGAGGGGACCAAAATTTAACTAGAAAAAAAGTGCATGCAAGCTAGATCAAGAAGATTTTCCAATTTGAAGCTTGGGTATGAAACAAGTTAGAGAGCATTGGAATATTCAGAAAAACTAGTTGAAGAAGAAGATGATGAGAAGAGATGAGATGAGATGAGATGCTTAACAATAATAACAATAATAATATCAAAAGTAGTATCAATGCTTCAAATTCTTCAGGAGTTACATTTATTCTGATTACAACTACATCACACTCACTTTTAATTTGTTCTCTGCTTTATCATTTTTAATTTCTTTTTTGGGGTTAAATTTGGGTTAAGGACAATAATCCCTTTTATTTTTTAAAATAAAAAAAATCATACTGATAGTTAAGTTTTAGATATTAAAATAAATGAAGAAAACAGTTAGATAAGTATTCATTAACTTACAAATTGTAAGTTATGGGGGATTTGAGTCTTTGAATTTGAATTATGAAGTATTTTCCATTTTTTGGTTGAAGGTTTTTGGCATTTTGTAAACAATTGGGGGTGTATTTGTAATTTTCATAGTGTTTATTTGTCATTTTTTGTAACTAATATGGGTGTACTGTAATTATCCCGGGAACCCAATACCGAAACCAGAACCTGTGTTTCAGGTTTGGGCTTTAGCCATTGAGGAATTGGAACTAGTTGGTTCTGATTTCGGTTCCAAATTCCAGGAACCAGTCGATTCTAGTTCTAGTTCTATGGAATTTTTGTAAATGATTCGCGAATGATAGGTTAATTTTTGTAATCTTAGAATTTGAGGGGGAATTCTTGTTAATTAATTAAACCTCAGGGATGTCATGTTATTAACTCTTAAATTTATTATATAAATATAACATATTCGAAATGCTAGATTTCATTCTCTTATTTAATTCCTTGAATTGTCATCAGCAATTTCAAGATTTATTCTTTGCCCTTTTTCAAAATATTTTCTTTTGTGTTTTGTGAATCTAAAAGCAGACAACAACGGAATTGGATGCTGTACTTTGAAAAAAAAAAATTGGAGAATATCAAACTCATTTATAAAAAATTAATTAGTGGTTAATTGTCTAAATTATTAGAGAACATTCATTTGGAATATTTTTTTGGAAAGCAAGATTTTACTCATTTAGAAGAGACATGAAATTCTTCCTACACTGAAATTATCGTATAGTTTTAAGAAATGTATAATTAACATTTTTATTTTAGTTTTTATTTTACAAAAAAAAATGGATTATCATCTAAATAACTATGGAAAATGATATCTTATTATTGGATTTTATTGCGAATTCAAGATTAATGATCGATATTGAAAGAAAATAAAATTATTGAAGATAAGATTCCTACCCTTAGATATTACTATTAGAGATAACAAAGGTAAGATTCCTAAAATAAAGCATGTAACGATTCGACTAAAATACTTCGAAGATATTGGCGCATTTTTAACAAATAATCGTCGAAAATTTTTATAGTGCTCTACAATTAGTTTTTTATTAACGTCGATGTTAGTAAACTTTTGAACTATGATTTCAGTCATTATTCATTGTTACAAATTTATCGTCATTGTAAAAGTTACTATATACGCATTTTTTATCACATATAAATTATATAATTGTTATAATATTGTAAAATTCCACAATACCATTATAAATTTTGAGTATAAACTTATAGAAAAAAAAAAAAAAAAAAAAGACATCAATAATGATATGACAATGTATATATTTTACAAGATAATTTTGAGAAAAAGGACGATTCAACGTTGTATACGAGGGCATATAAAATCATATAATAATCCAACAGGTAAGATTATTTTTACACCAATAGAAAATTATTTTAAGCACTTGTTGAGTACAAATTATAAAATTTTAAAAATTTTTTTTCTATTTTAATTAACTTTCCCTTCAAAGAGCCTTTTATCTTTATATAGGCAATACAATAACCAAAAATACTAAAAAATTAGCAACAAAATTTGCCATTATCTAACTCCCATAGTACTGGGTAATACAAATATATACCTCGGTTGAATAGGTAAATGCAAGTTATATGGTTCTAAAGAAAAACCACTCACTATAGTGTATTCCACTCTAGTACCCACTATTGACTAATTTATTCAACAAATATATATTATAAAATGTGTACTCTATATAATAATAGTTGAATTAAAAGTTTAATTTGGATTGTTATTTCAATTTGAGTCCAATGGATTCAAGCAAGTTCACCATTGACCTCCTAGTTACAATTTTCAAGTAGCATTACTTATTCAAATTTTTTTTTTTTTTTTCTTTTTTTTGAGTATCAAGCATGCAATTTGTTTTTGCTTCCTTCCACTTATGCATTTTCTTATTCTAAAATCTTAATCATGTTGAATTAGACTAAAGCCCCTAATACATTCTTGTCAAAAAAAAAACAAACAGAAGAAATGGTAACAAAATACAAATTTTCTACTCAAACATTATTATGAGAAAAAAAAAAAAAAGGAATTTTTTTTTCACAAAATGAATACAATTTCGAAGGTTAAAATGATCGAATTTAATTGAATAACAATGAGATTATAACGAGAGATAACTTCTGAATAAGACAAATCCAACACATATTGTTCCTTATTCTATCTCACGAGTCTTGACCACCTTATAACTTGTACTTAGTATTAATTATGCTATTTATTCTAAAATACAAAAGATTATATATATATATATTATATATATATGCTATAAGTTGATCTCTCTTTGAATCTATTGACATGTTGACGCTTGATTTTGGACGCCAACGACTCGCACGTGAGAAGTGCTAAGCGACTTAGGAAACACGTGATGGATCCATGAAATTTAAATATGGAGCTAGATATATATTTTGCAGAAAATATAAATGAAAGATTGGCAAGAGGGGGTTTTTATAGTGGTTCAGATGCAACAAGCGACTCCTACATCCACTGTTATTTATTTATCTCTCCCTATTTCTATGATTTGCCCGTAAGGCATACAAAGATGAAGAAATACAGTGTTTTTACAGAGAGAAAGAATTGAAAATAAAGCCAAATCTCACCTCACCTCCAGCCTCCCTTTCTTCGGGAAGAGAAAATCCATTTATTCACATTTGCACTCAATGCAATAGTGTTTTGCAAGCTGCCTGACACATGGAAGGCTCTCGTCCATTCATCTCTTTGAAATGAGATAAAGTTGGTGAGAATACTTTGGAGATATGGGCTTGGCAGCTGGTACAGAGAGACATTAATTGTGCTGACATAGGCTTGACTTTTAGGCTAACAGAACCCCTAGTTTTGAAGTGCGTTGCACTTTAGAAACTAAGTCTTTGATCTGACTTGCTGCAGTCTCGAACTGAAGAGCTCGAACTGAAATCTGTTAGGAAAGTGATCAGAAATCTGTTAGGAAAACGACCTGAAATCTGTTAGGCGCAACCAGAAATCTGTTAGGAACGCCAGAAATCTTTATAGCGACCAAAATCGTTAGACAACGACCAGAAATCTGTTAGGAACGCAGAAATCTGTTAGAGACACCAGAAACTGTTGGACGAATCTGTTAGAACGACCAGAAATCTTT